AAGAAGAAGAAGAAGAAGAAGAAGAAGAAGAAGATGGAGAAGAAGAAGAAGAAAAAGAAAAAGAAGAAGAACGATAATTATGATATTAATAACGGTGTTATCGTGAAAAAAGGAGACAAAAAAATTAACCACCCCCCCAAAACCCCCCCAACAAACCTCAACGACAAACAAACAAAAGAAATACAAAAGAAAAAAAGAGACGTGAATAAGCCTATTTTTTCTTTTTTTGTCAATCTATTCCAGAGCCCTGCCCAGAATCAAGAAGTGTTGTCGATGGCATCAAATCTTTCTCTCAAGAGAAAAGCCTGAGAAAAAAAAAGCTATTCTTTTCACGATTAAAGAGGGGCGACTGATGTAGGTCTACCAGGCTTGGACACAGGCCTAGTTTGTAAAGAGCTTTAGTTGTGGTGGTGGTGAACACTTCGGTTTTCCTCAAATACCCGGCTCTTGTCAAGCGTGACTGCTTTCAGTTGGGAAGAATGCTCTCCGCTAAGGTTGGACCAAATTTTCCCGGCGGCGGGCAATTAATACTTGAGGCTGCTTCCATACCTGCCAAACGCCTTGCGCAAGATGGTGAGACATTCCCTCGATGTGTAAGGAGCCAACGAGAAGAATCTAATCACTCTGATAAAAAGTTAAGAAACGTTTGCTCACCTGCTGAGCTCTTAGATCAGGATGGCGGAAAGCCACAAGGATCTTCACACGAGTGTCCGCCAGTTACTGATTCTGCTGAAAGTTTAGAAGCAAGCACCACTGCGGCGTGTGCTGGTGACAAAATTTCATCCCTCTACAATTCCGAAGTGACTTTTTCAGATTCCGTTCCTCAGAAGACGACTCCGAAAAATGGAGCGTCTGACACGGATAGAAACTATGCACTAATACCTTCTCAAGTGCCCTCTGACCCTGTGTCTTTGGGTGGGTATAATGACGTCATAATGGAGACAGCTCCGTCCCAGGGGAGGAACCCAGAAGTCCTTGGGGTCGCACGGGACGAGACATGTGGCGTTTCTCACAACGTTTCATCTTTTGGAGTTGAGAACTGCAAAGCAAGAACTACAGCTGATTGTGAACAGACTGCTCATGCCAAAGGACGTAACAACAAATCATTGTACCAGACCACTCTTGCACGAGGAGTCCCAGGTGAGATACTTTTGATAATTGTTGTAGGATCACCAAACTTTCTGCTGAAAATAAATCTTGTCATTGAACTGAATCTTATCTTCTCTAAATGTAATGATTCCACCCGTGGCCGTGCTCTTTTTAATAGGGCTACCAAACATTGTCTTTTGTTGTAGACGGTCGGTTGCTCTCTTTGGGAAGGGTGTCTGTGACCTATCTTGTGGTTAAGCTGTCGGACTCGTAACCGAATCATTACTTCTGGCGAGTATTAATTACTTCCGATTTGTCCAACAGCTTCAGGCTTCAGAATAACCTCGATTTCGGAACACGGTGATGTACCAGCAATTTATTGAATTCCAAAATACACTATAAAAAGAAAGAGAACAGTTTGATAACCGTTGGTTTATGTAAAAAGGAATTGGAACTTTTCCTCCCTAGCACTAATCGTGGGAATCGATTCCGGAATCAATTCTTCGCCCAGCTCTACCTATAGTTACAACACTTGCCACGTCGGTGCACACACACGGATAGCACACGGAACAAGGAACGAAAATGATAATTCTCTCGTAAACAGGAAAGTTCTCTTTTCGAGCACTATTGTGGCCATATCGGCGTCTGTGGTGGTAGGCCTAGCGGTTGGGCGATTCTCAGTGGCACATGGGTGACAGGTGTTCGATTCTCGAGTGGGGAGAACCGTTATCAAATCGAGTATCTCAGTCTATTTTCTGGGGCGTTATATCTCTATCAGCCTGCGTTGGCCCTTACAGGCTTGGTCGAAACCCTCTGCTTAGTTGGTCAAAATTGTGTCGACGGAAGCGTAAAAACACCCACATTAAAAACGATTAAACCAATAAACACATACAGAGTACAAGTAATATCCATGAATCACAGAGGTGGTCGTTGGTGTTGTTTTGCTCCTCATCGACAATTCAGTCTTATAAGAAGGTTGGCTGCTTGTACTCTGCCTGCCAGGGCAAATCATAAGCTGTTTGTTAAACTGCATTCCCAGAGAAAAATAGAGAAACTCGATAATAGTAGTAGTCAGAAGGATATAAAGGTTATTGACGGCCACAGAATGCACAATATATATATAGATGGCAAAATAATGTTTGGTAAAAAATGTAGGAATTTTTACACCTCCATCGACACAATTTGGATCATTAGGACGTTGGTTTCCGACCCTGCATCTCAGTCAGGGCCAACCTGATCTGAGAGGGATTCAATATCCCAGCAAAAAGACAAGATACTCGATAAAACATTCTTCTCCCCACATGAGAATCGAACTGGGGCCTTCTGAGTGAGACAACGAAGCACCTAACAGCTACACTACAGACACCAGTGTGGAATCGTCATGTAGATAATAAGAAATACAGGTTACCAACCGCCCGCATCTCCAAGCAATATTAAAGAATAAAGCGTTTATGTTTGTGTTGTCCCTGTGTGGTTTCATTCAGGTATATTTGAATTAAAACAAACACAGAGTTCAAGAACTGTACTTTATTCACTATGAGAAGGCACACACAATTAATATTTCTACGTCCTTTCTACCTCCCC